TTGACCCCACAGGTCACACCTTGACCCCACAGGTCACTGCTTGACCCTTGACCTTTGAGTCATCCATCATTTTGACAGAAAGTGGGTTATATTCATAATTATATCAACAAAATGTGACACACTATGGTGTTTATAAAAAACCTCTGCAGAGCAAGAGCACATTTATTAGCCAGAGGACTAGTGAGTTTAGAGGGCGTGTATCTGAAACCATGAATGTTGTATGTAGTTGTGTGAATATTTGAAGAATGAGCCCAAAGAACCCAGTCCCAAAAAGATAAACCCACAGTTCAGCCATAGTTCAGAATGATGATGTTGAATTGTTCATTCTGTGCAGCTTCAGGTTGTCCTTCAGAGATCAGATTACAGATGGGAGTGAGAGGGGGAAAGGTATGGGGGGGCACAAATCGACGTAAACACCCCGGAGAAATTAGATCCACAGCTCTTCAAGACCATGTGGGAGAGAGACGAATTTGTAATCAGTTGTTTGGAAACAGAGAAAATGTTTTCGGTCAGGCAGACAATAATTTTCCATCTGCCTTCATGTCCGTTGGTACATCCAATGTGGCAAATCCAATCAGACAAATAGTGTGGACAATCCCGCCGAGCCGAGATATCAGCCTCTCCAAGATTAACTCCATCTGGCCAGCAAAGTCCAGGGACCGCAGCCAGCCCGCGACCCTCAAGAACCACTTGCAGACCAAGTCCAGCTCACACAAGGCTAAAGTCCCGAGTGCTGAAAGCACGGCAATCCTTCATATTGGTCAGGCAGCCAGGACATGGCCTGAGTAGCCAGAACACCAGGAGACCACCAAGCCATTCTGTCGAAATCCAGTCCAAAAAATTTGTTCCAAAAATTTATTAAGAGACCAACTAACCAAATCCATAAAAATAAATCTATAATTTTGGTTTCGGATGAAAAACATAGCGGAGGCTCCAAGCAGCAAAGCAGGGAAGATAAGGGAGGGCAGGAGAGAGGGAAAAAGCATCAGAGAGCGGAACATAATAATAATAATAATAATAATAATAATAATAACTTTATGACAGCCTATTAAAAACTACATACACTGTGTTTAAATGTTTTTATATTGTTTTGACCATCAGTTGACTCCACAATGTAAAAATACCAGATTTTCTTTTCACAGAGATCAGTTATGTTGGCCTAGAAAAATAAATTAAAGAAAACCATCTGTGATGAACAGATGGAAATATCAAAGCATGGTTTCCTCTGTTGTAAGAATGATCTGTGAGTTCAGAGTGAACAACCAACCTTTCTCCTCAACTTAGGTTTTTGTCAAAGATTTTCCTCAGTGACAAAAAAAATCAAAGTTTTTAGAGTGACTGTTATTTTCTGCAGTTACCATTTATTTCAGTAAAAACCCATTTTAGCCTTAAGCTGAATTAAAGCTTTGTTCTGTGAAATCTGAATGTTTTCATTCAGAATTTGAATCATCAAAATTTTAAACTAACATGGACCTTCTAAGGAAAACAATGTCATCAAACACTGCACAATGAACAACTTAATCAATCTGCTTAAATGATAGTGAATAAAATATTTAGTTTAAAAAAAAACATATTATAACAGCTCTAAATCCAAGCTGTTTTTTTTTTCAGGTGTTTTCTAAAAAACTAGAACTAAATTGCACATTTTATTGATGCATCATGTCCTTTATCTTATCATGTTTTAATGATCATTAAATGTACATTAATGCACATTTAACTATGATTTTCTTTTTTATTTCCCCACCTACACAGTTCCCATATTGATGTATTTTTCCTTTCTTCAGTCATCATAACTGATGTTTTCCCTCCATGGTTCCCCTGATGAAGAATCCCAGAATCAGTACAGGTGGGCTTTAGGAACCATCCAGCTGGAATCATGTATTGTTGATTTAAAAAGAGAAAAACACACAAAAGTGACACTGGACAGCGGGCACAAAGAAACACAGTTACAGAAAGACACTGATGACATCAGTAACGCGCACACTCTGACTTCACACCCACACTCAGAGCAGCAGCGATGCACAAACTCCAAAAACACACTTCAGAAACGCAGCAAAGCACACAGCTTCACAGGAGGACTGTGGATACATCTGCTGCGGATTTAAAACACACACGAACACAAACAACATTAATACAAACAAAATGTGTGCGTTTTGAGGTTTGACTGCTTATCCACGTGTTGGTGCAGACTATTTCAAGTTTTAATTTGTACAAATAACGTCATATATTATTTCTACAATTATTTCTTCCTTTTAATTAACTTTTAGTTTTATAGAGTGAGACTTCATTACATCCACAGAGTTCACTCATTTAACAGTTGCATCAGTAAACAACAACAATGAAAAACAACACTATTTAGATTAAATGATAATGTTTCAGTGCTTGGATATTAATTGAGGTTCCAGGGCTTTAAAACCAAGGGGTTTTCTTGAAGTTTTTGCTCAAAATACTATGCCAAAATGTAATTGAGTGTATCTCAGCATGAACAAACTTTACTTAAATAATATTCATATCAAAATAAAGCTAACATTTGGGAGATTTCATTAGAAGTGTAAGTATTAAAACAGCTGCCGTGGTTTTAGAGATATTGGGGATGGAACTTTTTTTTTTTTTTCTTTCACTCTCACCTGAATATTTTTCATCAGACATTATACTGTATGACCCATTTAAAACCATAATGAATCAGGTTAAAAACTCTTGGAAACCACAAATCCCTTGTGGGCATTACCTGTGCACAGATTCATGCTGCTGAAATGAACTGGAGCAAAGTTACAGAGGTTTTAATAAAGAAATAATTTTGCATTTTGTCATTCTGCACAGGACAGACATGATAGTACCATTAACAAATGTTAAGAAATCTTAAGTTTTTACATCCAAAAGTTATTTTTTTCTTACCTGCCTGAAAAGACTTGTTATTGAATGTTTGTTCTTTGGAAAAATTACCCAAACATTTATTTGTCACCATTTATAAAATAAAGAGAAATTATATTTGACTTCAGTTGGATCATATTCACTCAAAATCAAGTAAAAAAAACTTTCAACACACTTTACATTTGGTATTTACTTTGACTTGCTTTTAAAAAAATAATGTTTTTTTCCTTTACAGATTTGCTTGTTTGAACTGTGTTTGCGTAATGTAACAATATTTTCCATGAACTTTTAGCCAAGATGCTTAGGTTTATTTTGATACCAAACATGTCCAGGTTCAGCTGACAGATCTCAAGCTAAAAAAAAAGTTAAAAGAAAATGAAAATGGAACAAGCTGTTTTGCGCTGGGGGCATGGGGCTCGAGAGGTTAAATAATCAATTAATCTGTAACCAGAGTTGAACAAAGCGCTGCACAAACCAGACTATAAAAGCATCCATAACACATTTTACTCATGTAAATGCAGGACAAACA